AGGCTAACATTGTCACACTAGAATGTTATAATCCTACTATTATTTAAACTGTGTTACAAAAAGCAATTTGAATTTATCGACTTTCACAATGGTAATAGACCTATTCATCATAATTTCTATAATACAACTACACAAACACTCGCTTTGCTAAAGGTTAATAACAAAGGCTAGTTAAAGCTTTGTTTACATAAGTCCAATATTTGTTGAGACATGAAAAATTTGATTTTCAAAAATCATATGAAAAAGGAAAAGCATTTTATTTTAAAAAAATCTGATACAATTTACTATTTCAATATCACGTATATTTCATTTTCACGTAATAACCGTTTAACTGGTCTGCATTTTACTAGAGTTTACTCTGAGATAGTAAATCATATTTGTTCACTCTTACTCATAACCCAGTACATAAAACTTTTTTAAATTGTTATACTTGGCTAATACATATCTTTAAGCATAATTACCAAAATAAAAGAGGATGTCATCCACTAGGTTAGATTACAAAAGAGGATATGATTACCAAGCTTAAACGATCTGCTTGAGTGGACGTTTTGATTTACGCAAGAGAATGTATAATGATTATAAAAAAGGCTATTTAATGCGACTTTAAATCGATTAAAATGAAACAGCTTAAGTCGGTTACTATTGTTCTGTCAACCTGAAACACGTTTTTTGCTCAATCATTCTCACTACCTGCTTTTATTGATTCTCTAGTTCTATCTTGCTACGATACGTTGTAATTTAAGTTAACGCACTTCTGCCAGAGGTCTTCAATCATTGTTTATTATGATTACTAAAAAATGCGTAATATTTTTTATTATAACCCAACTTTATCTGGCCTTAAAAACAATTTTATATAATTGACATATCACAATTCTGGAACTCTTGGTGTTTAAACGAAGAACAAAACATTATGTGTGAATATTAATAATCGCATATGAGTTGGTAATAAATGATAAACAAGCACTTGTTTTTGCTCTACTTAGATAAATAAAGAAGTATACAAATCTGAGTGGCATTTGGAAGAAATAACGCATATACATATAATAAGCATATCACATGAAATCCTAAGAAAAACAGCTATCGTATAAATTAATTCACAAATACAAACAGTTTTTAATATTACTACTTTATTTTAAGACGATGGAAAAAATTCGAACACAAAGTTATGATAAATCACTAATCAATCTCTCATCAATTTAGTCTTTGATGTATGAAAAAAGGCATTTTCCTCTTCTCCTACGTGAAGGTAGCTGATCATATTATAAAAAATCATTAAAAATGGTACAACTCACTGAAAGATATCTATATAATATGCACACAGTGTGTCGCACGTAAGAACACAAACAGATATTAGACCTAGATGTCACCACCAAATAATTTTTCTCTTTACTGTCAAAAAAGAACAATAAAAAGCAAACAGTTTGGATTGAGAAGTTGAGAAATCCCTCTACAGTAAACAAATAAATACGGAAAATTGTAATTTCAGCTTTATCACAGACATATTAATGAATACTGCGAGGTGATTGAAAGATCTCTGAGTAAAAGAACACTTCTTCAAACATCATATACTACAGTTTCCAAATCTATCTAAAAACCAAAGTCCTAAGAAGTCTTGAGCACAGTAAGCAGTGTCGACGTGCTCTGTCTAGTTTCTAGATCGATCAAGGAGTAACCAAAATAGAAATCGATCACTTAATTTTTTATAATTTTGTATTATTCCATTTTTAATATTTTTGAGTGAATTTTAGTCAGTCTTAATTGAAATGTGTGGATCCTGCGCAGATTGGCACGATAAAGCAATTGTTACAAGTTTTCGTAAAATAGATGAAATGTAGCTAGCAGTAAAATCCAGGACGGGCATTTCGTCTCCAATATCTAAGTGAATATATCATGTTGTGTTCTAATTACACCATATTATTACTATATTCCGAAAACAATAATTACAGAATTCATGCCAGTTTACAGGCATGATCAACTTGATATAAATAGTAACATTAAATTCAGAGAAAAAACATGTGATATGAGATTGTTTTAAGTATATTAGTTCGAAAATTGTTTAGGTAGTACATTTATGACGTGTATTACAACAACGTAATGCATCCGCCGGGAACTTTTAATTCTTCTTAAGTGGACATCCTGTTGATTTTCTGTGCCATAACGATTTAATTATAATCATCTACAACTAGAGAAAGTAGAATGGAAACAGAGAGCACGGAGAAGCAAAGCAATAATTGCCGGTCAGGTCTATCATAATGCATGTGTATTGTGACTCGGTGATATACTGTTCACGTTAGATATTATTCAAATTAGTTAAGGTTGCCAAAGACAGTGTTAACGTAAAGTAACAACAGGTAGGTGGTTTTATTTAGTGAATTCAGTAATAAGAATGGCTAAACACTTATAGTTCCTATAACCTTACTTATGGAATAAGATACACTTACAGGTGCTAGAACATTTAATGCAGTAGGCATCAGCACAGCGAACAGAGAATTGGAGTGATTTCATCTTATGGATAGATTGTGGTAGATTATTCTAGAGTCTGGAAAATTTACAGGTAAAGTAATTCATGTAAAGAGATGATTTGGAATGGGTTTGTTTCACTAGTGACAAGGAGTTAGGGGTATCGTAATTAGAAGTTTCCGCATACTGAATTACTTGACTGGATATAAAGGGTAGTTTATTAAGTATTTTGAAAAGATTAGAATTAGTTTGAGTCTCCTCTTCCATAAACGGTCCAGCCCAAGTTTATTACATTTGGAATTATAATTCGAGGTACAATCAGTTCCAAGAATCCTAAATGTAAAACGTCTCTGTACTGATTCCAGTCTCAATTTATCCTTTATACGCACACTACTAAGAATAGACGTGCATTAGTCTAGGAGTGGTCAAACACACACTTTGTTCATCAAAATACGCAACCCGTTGTTATAAATGTTTCGAGTTATATAACCCATAAGACGTTGAGACTTGAAGGTTTGCTTTAATACCTGTCCTGTAAACAACAAATCGTAGGAGTATCTAGGTCTACTACTGTATGTAACTTAGATAAATCCACACCATTTATCGTAAGATCTAAGTTGACTGATGTATTACCAAAGTATATCCATCCACATTTAGCTGTGTTAAGCTCCAGATGCCATTTTGAGCACCACTGTGCTACCTTATAAAGCTCCATGCTGATGAAATTCTGCACATTGTTCAGCTCATGAAGAGAAAATGAATACACTTCTTTAAGATCATTGTAAGGGGCTTACGAAAACATTCATAAATATCATTGATAAAAACTAAAAAAAAAGCCTAAGATGCTACTTTGTATTACAACACTTCTGACAGGAATAGCGTTCGATAAGGAAGAGTTTATTTTAACTATTTGATGTCGGTGGCTGAAGAAAGAATCAAACCAATCAAGCAGAGGGTTTTGGATCCCGTAACCAGAAGTTGTTGGTTAACCATATTGAAGGCTTTAGGACTGTCAAAGTATAGAACTAAGACTAGATATGCTTAGTTACGTCGAGAAAAAAGTGAAGTAAACAAATGAAAGTGGCATGTCATACAAGATCAAATTCTAAGGAATCCATGTTGAGAATCATTGATAAGTTTTTCAGAGAATGAATAGTTGGAAAGTTCGTCACCAACAATTTTTTCCATAATCCTAGGGATAACTGAAGTAATATTCATGCGCCAATAATTGTTCATGTCAGTCTTATCTCCAGATTTGTAACGTAGTATGATATACGCGGTTTTTAACAGTATGGGTAAGTACCTACTTTCATAGAGAGAGTAAACAGCTTTGGAAGAAGAAGTAGAATATCTGGACCACTTTATTTGTAGAGAAAAGATGAAATCTCGTCTACTCTATGACCTCTCGAAACCCTTAAGGGTATTTATCGCCTTACTAATTTTCAAGTATGTGAAAGAGATAGATTTGATTGAATTGCTAGTCATGCACATGATTCTTGAAACAGTGCCATTTAGGAATTCTTTATCGTTCGCAAAAATACGACTGAAAAAGTCTGCTATAGTTTTAGAGTCGTATATAAAAGTATTGTTATGCAGGATGCATGGTATGTCAACATTTTAATTTGCTTTAACGCATTTATTGAAAAGAAGAATTAAGTTGTGTACTTTTGAGCTAGTATTAAGTGCTAACAGCTCCTCATTAATGTCTTTTAACCTGTGCTTGCTTTAATTTGGTTAGTAGGGCAAAACACGGTGGCGGGAAGTATATTTTTGTATGATAGAGCCATTTTAATATTTTTGATATTTGATCTGGAACCAGACGGTTCTGTATATGCTATCTTCTAACATGGTATAGAATTTTTGATCTTAGCAGTGTTTTTAAGAGCTTTCACGTTAGAAATACGTATTTAGGTAGGGGCTTCTAATGTTACATTGGAAGATATCGGATTAATGTCTCCGTTAAATATACATTGGTTGCCTGAGGTCACTACAGGCATAAGAGGAAGGTTAGCAATCATCATTGGTAAATCAGAGTATTGGCTAACATGCGATTGATTAGCCACTATAATTTAAGGACGACCATTGAGCAACGTTAAAATGACCTTGAATATGTTCACCTACCAACTAAGACTACATGAGGGTTATAAAGCAGTGTGACTAATTAGAATTATGATTTACAGCTGGTTGTTAGGGTTAGGAATTAGATTCAGGGTTTTGATCACTAAGTGACTTCAGTTATAATACCACAACTCTATTTAGCTAAAGGAATAGATGAATTTTGCTTTAAAATCCAAGACCTGTTATTTTAAATTTGATCGGTTCGTTCACAAATTATAGTCTTCAACTTTTGTATAAGTCTTGGATTGGTGGTTTTATCTGAGACTATACGAACGTTCCTAAACTTCGTAAGCGCGCAGATTAACCGAGATTAAATAGAACAAATTGGTTTTCAAGCTCTTTTTACTGATTAATGGCTTTATGTTGTATATATATATATCAAATTACCTGAATATTTATTGTTTATTTTTAACAAACTTTAGCCTATTCACGGTAAATCAGTGACAAATAATGATGATAAATTAAAAAAACACCAAAATGCTTTTAATCAATACAATTCAATTAAAATAACTACTTCAACAAAAGAGTCAGTTGTACAAAATGATCACGTCAGTGAAGATCAAAATAACGATATCAATCAATTTGTTGATTGTGAAAATCGTAGTGATTCTAGTGTTACTGATTCTCAACAATTAATATCACATCCAAGAACGTTATTCCCTCGTCCCCAATGGTCGCCAAATCTTAGCTATTACATGTGGTCTTCTATTCAGAACAATAAAAGTAAATCATGTCAAATTTTGTATATAAATGTTATTAGTATTACCAATGTTTTTATTCAATTCAGAAGTTAAATTTTAGCTAACTAATTTGATTAATTTATGATTTTTTCGTAAGTCATGCGCTTCAAAGTTGTTTATTGATTTCAACAGCTTTCAACCAACGAATAAAGGCACGTTTATCGATTTCAGTGAGAATTCAGGACAGAAGTACACTGAACAGAGTCTTTGTTAATGTCTTCAATATATACTTTTGTATAGAAATAAATAATTAGAAGTTAATGCTTGTTGACTGAGGATTTATATTTTCTCGTCGTTGCTCAACTGATGAGTTCTGTAGAAAATTTTGACTTATTAATCGAGAAAACTCGTGTTGTTCAAAGTTACTACTTTGCGATTATCAGTAACCATGGTGACAAATAAATAATTGGTTTCTTATTTATTCGAATTACTATGAATTTAACAGTGTAAACAGAACTTCCACCTAAGAGTTTTAGTATGTGTTAGTTTTAGGTAGATTTTTTAATTTAAACAATATAAATGAATCATCAAATAAAAATATTTAGTCTACTCAACTTTATCACTGAAAATATTTTACTCTAGTTTAAAACCAAATTGTTTCTCAGTCGATATATTATTTTAGAAGAGCTTACACATTCAATAATTTTCAAAAAACTATTTGTTTGATATCTTGCCGACTATGCTAGTGAAGTTACCCTTGAAAGTACTATAAAAATATATTGAAAACATAACATTGACTGCGATAACACTATATTAGTTACAAAAAGTTTGTTTGTAGACTATTTTATTTGACATACATTGAAGTATAAACTGTGTCATTTCTGTAATAATTAAATTCACATACGGAAGGCCTCACACGAATAACAAACAAAATCATGCAGGTTACTGATTTGAAAAGTTGATTTCAACTAGATAGTTTATGAACACTTATTAACATAAAAGTAAATTGTATCTCCAACATCCTATAAAGAACTATTAAAACTAAGGATAAGAAAATGAGTATTTAGTATTATGTGTGACTTCCTAATACAGTGTACTCATCATTGAGACACAAAATCACATTTTCTCAGTGTGAAAAATATTAGCTTCAGCACCCTCACAATTTTCATTGAACGTCCTGAAATTGTCAGTAAAAGTTGATCCTCACTATTAAGTCAATGTACTACACGAACATCATTCCAAATCAAATCATTATTTAACACTGAATTATACTTCAATATTATACTTCCGGAGAATTTCAGAGTGAGATATTCAAACTCAGTGGACAACTAACAGTGAGTATTGGGAAATAGTCACAAACTAGGAAGAGACGTATATCTATCGTCCTAATGAAGGAAGATATTCTAACCGCAATAAAATCTTCATAAATAACGTCACTGACTCCTGAACAAATACTTGTTAATCACTTATTCAAACATATATTTTTCAAAAGTCAAGTGAAATATTATTGATAAATGATGATAACCGGATAGGTACTCATAAATTTCATTAAGTGTTCTTAATTAAGTATTGTTTGTTCTTCACATTCATGTTTAATTGAGCATCGATTGAACAAATGTTAGTTTCATTTTCATTGTAATTATTATTGTACCATGTTATAATGTTCAAGTATGAAGATGATATTCCTATTTTTGGTGAAAACAAACTGACACATTTTCTCAGCAATTTGAGAACACCTTCGAAATTCAATAAGAGAATAATTTGTACTAATCCCGAAAATTAGTCGTACATCATTATTTGAAAATAGTGTGGATCATAGAGTAACTAGCACAAATCATTACAATGAACTAGACTTAATCTCTTGAAACATGCACACTTATAAACATGATACATTTCTTATCGAAATTACTAAAATACAACTTATTATTACTGTACCTTTTCTATAAACTATATACATCAATTAAGTGTATGAGAGATCATCATCAGTGAAATGGATTGTAAGATGTTTACTTCTATCAATATTTTTTTATTGTTTCCTCCTGATAACACTTGTCAACATAAGTGCTTAAAGTAAACTTCGATTTCAAATATAAGTTATTAAATAAAACTGACCAATTTATTCAAGTCCATGGATAGTAATATTTAAATCTTTTATATCTAGCTCATCATTGGTAATATTGAATTATAGTAAAAGGTATTTAATTAAGATATTGAGAATACTTTTTTATACATCATCCTATAATGTAAAAACATATGCATTTCATTCAATGTGAAACTATTATTTTATTTGTGTACTCTTTCCTCATTCCATAACGTTTGTTAATACCATCGATTACAATATCGTTCATTGAGAAGACAACAAGTAGAACAATGAATGCGTTACGCTTTCAGGCTGTATTTAGTCTAAATATTTAGTTTCTGGTTTAATATTGGCTAAAGAAAAATTACTGGCTACTAAGTAATTATTAACATTTGTTGGAAATATTACATACTAACAAACCTCACAGTTGAGTAAATAGGTATGTAATTATCAATAAATGATTGATAATTTAGCATTACAAATATCGCTGTTGCTTGGTTTACTTAAACCAGAGATAATCACCTTAAATTGAACTAATTATTATTTAGTTAAATAATAATGTTAAGGAGTAGAGTTAGTGTATTTTGATAAAATTTTGTTGTCGTCACCCTTATCCTTTGGTAACACTATAAGTTGACACTTTTGTTTTCAATTGACTTTGGATTGTATATTTCATGTACGAATAACTTTCGTAGCCTATATGAATGGATTTTTTTATTGCTTTTAATCAAATAGCATCTTGTACTCGATCCTACGATATTATGAACAGAAGCATTAGTAATACAGATGGAATAAATACATATCGATTGATGCCTGCCGGACAAATTTCTCAAACCACAAGACATTTCCCTCGTTTATCAACAGCTGAAATTCCATGTGAGCGACCTAAATCAGCCCCGGTGAAAAATTGTAGAAAAAAAATTAATCTTGATTGTAAAACTTATTCTGTTCATTATCCTGGTTTATTGGCTAATGGAAATATGAATATATGTTAAATAAACAAAAAACGAGTGAATATCTTCCTTCCTTTGCGACAAACATCGTTTTTCAGAATCTATTGTATTTATTTCTATTTAATTTATGGTAAAAACTGTGATATTTTGATTTGGCTATTTTTCATTCTATTTTCAATTTGAAATAAAAGTTTTTTACAAATGTACTGTAAGATTTAATTATGATTATTGTCAATTATTTCCTTTTTTCTACCATCAATATCCATCAAGTAATTATTTTTGAACGTTTCAATTTCCCACATAACTTTATTTGTCTTTGTACACTTCCATTTAATTATATTTATCGAGGGTTTCCAAGAAACAAAAAAAAAACACTGAATTTTTATGTCTTCCAGTTTTGGTGAAGTGATTCAACATGTCATTCATCATTTATAAACAATTGGTTTTTATTATCTACCAAATAATATCGTTAGAAATTTCTTATCAAATGACTACCTCTATTTTTATATACATGTATTTAAAGACCATTTATTTTCATAGACGCTTCATTAATTTTAAATGCTGCCTCATGACAAAACTCAAATAACAGTTCAACTGTTGAATACCAGGAAAAAGGAGAAAATGAACGTATGCTTTTATGGTCTTGAATTGTAAGGCGAATTAAGGAAATACTGTTTAGTAGATGAAAACCGGTTGAATTGCATAACTATATGCTCGTTATCTGTTATTCAATTTTCTGTGATTTAAGGTAATTCTCGTAAATCGTTACGATTAGATTTTTAAAGATCAACTAATTTTCAGGACTTAAGAAGAATATTAATAGCAAGTGACCACCCATGATTATTGCCGAAAACCTTAACTAATTGGATTTATGAACACTGAGGTATTATAGTTTGTTACTTAAACAGAGACTCGTGATTGTTTTTTGTATTATCTGAAAAGTGAATGACTTAGAAGAATAAAAGTCACTTGAGAATTATTACAAAACCATTTTTATCTGATCATAATACTAGGAGATAGTAGTAATCAGATGTCAAAATAAGATTGCTAACTGTAGCTCATCACTTCTGCAAGAATTTCAAATATAAAATTACAGTGAACTGTTAATTTTGACTAATTTTACATGATATTTCATGCAGCCAGATCCATTGACAAATTTAAAACAGAGCAAGGACAACAAAATATTGCAGAATCAAATGAATCCATTCTGTTTCACGGTTTCTCATCAGCCGCATACAACCTTAAATGACAATTGTTAATATAATTATTAATAAATGTTTAGCATACTTTAATTTGTGAACTTTAGATAAATGATCGAAACGTAGCCGAAATCATAAGAAGAAGGAGAACAGGGATACAAAGTATGTAAATAAACTTAGTTGATGTCGATGTGTATTTTTATGCTGGGAAATAATAATTCAGAGCTAATGTAAAGGAAATGAAATTACTAAGTGATTGGGTAATCGCTCAACATGATATAATAAACAAACTATTAATAAGATGTTCTAAGAGACGAATATCAGAAGACGAATTGACAACAAATATAAAAGGTTGAGAACATGGCTGGAAAAATATTAAAAGTTAAAATCAATAAGGCCTATTACGTGAACACTCAATCACCATGAGAGGAAAATGCACATCACATTTTTCTTCTGTAGACATATATTAGGTCGTAAACGTTTGATAGCGATTGCCTTAGCCAAATAGAGTAAGATTGTTTTTGTCTGTCAATTATTTTAAGTGCATTTCTTTCATTTATCTCATGTCTACTATCGAGATGTCTGAGAATTACACTTGTAAAGACTTAACTCCACTATGATGATTAAGAGTATTCTAACTAATGTGTTAACTAAGAGTTCCCGAAATAGTGCAGTTTAAAAGAGGTAGAACTAGATGAGCACAAATGAACGTATTATATTTGGAATTCGTAATCACTGGGCCATCAATTACAAAGGAATCCTGAGTCCGTACAAATACCACATCCCTTTACTAATATTTTTCATCCCTGTTTACACGATATCATCTCAGTAAATAATCGTATATGTGCAGTCAGGTGATTTGGATGGAAGATGCAAGATACATGTGGAAAGAGTTTCGTTCTTTAAAATGCAACTATGTAAAATGATATAAAAATTAAGTCGTTTCTTCAAGTAATAGTGATCAGTGTTTTCGATACGGTTTAATTACATATGTATACTTCAATGTACCAAAGAAAATTATTTCAGAAAGTTTGATGAATGTTTCTGCTGGTGATACATCAAATGTTTCAATTAATGACACATTAACAATGTAAATGAAAATGATTTTCATTGAGAAACAAGTATTTATCCTAAATTCAGGATGGAGAAATGTGTATTAACGTTTGATTTATGTTCTTTTATAAGATAGGAATGAGTTCTATATGTATGTATATCTATTTAATGCATTACAGCTCATTATATAGTAAGTTTAAACACTTCTTTAATAAACATATATAAATATAGGCATTATCATAGAAGAGTTTAAACTGACCATGTTCCCGGCTTTAATGCTAATGTATTGTCATAATACAAAATGCAAGTCAACAAAAATAATAGTCAATATTTTATAGTACTGACAACAACCACATGGGTAAGTCTGTGGATGATTGTTTTATTTCTGTTACACGAGTACGTTATATGACAATGCTTAATTACCTTAGCTTTAAGTACATGTAGAGAAGTAAACCAATAAATTATTAACCATTTTTACACTACACATATATGTCATACATTTTTGTGAAGTAAACCTTTTTAATTTTTATATGTAGTTATGTTTTAAGTTAAACAATATAAATGAATCATCAAATAAAAATATTTAGTCTACTCAACTTTATCACTGAAAATATTTTACTCTAGTTTAAAACCAAATTGTTTCTCAGTCGATATATTATTTTAGAAGAGCTTACACATTCAATAATTTTCAAAAAACTATTTGTTTGATATCTTGCCGACTATGCTAGTGAAGTTACCCTTGAAAGTACTATAAAAATATATTGAAAACATAACATTGACTGCGATAACACTATATAATATTGAAAATTCCCATCCTGATATTTTGTTAGTAAGGAAAGAACGAGTCGAGCGAAGAAATTTATTTTCAATTAGCTTTTCATCATGGTTCTACATATATATATATATATATATATATATATATATATATATATATATATATATATATATATATATATATATATATATATATATATATATTAACAATAATGAAATAATACTCATGGAGTAGATACGTTATGTAACAATCATATAATGACATATCTGTCATAAATTAATATTGGAAGACATAAGAAGAATAATAATCAAAGTACATTTTTGATAATCAAGTAGTTGCTACGTTGCGTAATATATAAAAAGAGAAGGAACTAAAAAAATATTTTGATGAATGGTCAGTAGTGTAGTAGTTATGTAAGAATCAAGAGATGAATGTTGAGAATACGTGAAATACAAATGTGCAAAAGATGGAAGACATACGAAAAAACTTTATCAAAGTTCTGCTACAAACACTATATTAGTTACAAAAAGCTTGTTTGTAGACTATTTTATTTGACATACATTGTAGCATAAACTATGTCATTTCTGTAATAATTAAATTCACATACGGAAGGCCTCACACGAATAACAAACAAAATCATGCAGGTTACTGATTTGAAAAGTTGATTTCAACTAGATAGTTTATGAACACTTATTAACATAAAAGTAAATTGTATCTCCAACATCCTATAAAGAACTATTAAAACTAAGGATAAGAAAATGAGTATTTAGTATTATGTATGACTTCCTAATACAGTGTACTCATCATTGAGACACAAAATCACATTTTCTCAGTGTGAAAAATATTAGCTTCAGCACCCTCACAATTTTCATTGAACGTCCTGAAATTGTCAGTAAAAGTTGATCCTCACTATTAAGTCAATGTACTACACGAACATCATTCCAAATCAAATCATTATTTAACACTGAATTATACTTCAATATTATACTTCCGGAGAATTTCAGAGTGAGATATTCAAACTCAGTGGACAACTAACAGTGAGTATTGGGAAATAGTCACAAACTAGGAAGAGACGTATATCTATCGTCCTAATGAAGGAAGATATTCTAACCGCAATAAAATCTTCATAAATAACGTCACTGACTCCTGAACAAATACTTGTTAATCACTTATTCAAACATATATTTTTCAAAAGTCAAGTGAAATATTATTGATAAATGATGATAACCGGATAGGTACTCATAAATTTCATTAAGTGTTCTTAATTAAGTATTGTTTGTTCTTCACATTCATGTTTAATTGAGCATCGATTGAACAAATGTTAGTTTCATTTTCATTGTAATTATTATTGTACCATGTTATAATGTTCAAGTATGAAGATGATATTCCTATTTTTGGTGAAAACAAACTGACACATTTTCTCAGCAATTTGAGAACACCTTCGAAATTCAATAAGAGAATAATTTGTACTAATCCCGAAAATTAGTCGTACATCATTATTTGAAAATAGTGTGGATCATAGAGTAACTAGCACAAATCATTACAATGAACTAGACTTAATCTCTTGAAACATGCACACTTATAAACATGATACATTTCTTATCGAAATTACTAAAATACAACTTATTATTACTGTACCTTTTCTATAAACTATATACATCAATTAAGTGTATGAGAGATCATCATCAGTGAAATGGATTGTAAGATGTTTACTTCTATCAATATTTTTTTATTGTTTCCTCCTGATAACACTTGTCAACATAAGTGCTTAAAATAATCCCTTTGTCATTTGTGTATTCTAAAACAAAATAGTTTGTCAAATATTTATTCATTAATCTTTTACTGAGTTTAGATCAGATGTCTTATTCTAAAATAAAATAAAAAACTTTCCATAGAAACTTGATAAATAAATTTATATTCCTATGTACATATTACTAATATGTTTATCAATTATGCTGACTGAAATGACGTTTATTTTTCTTAATAAATCTTTATTAGTATGATTTCATGTGGTAATAGAACTCACTACTCATTATTAAACTATTCACATTATATTAATTATTATAATATAATATGATAGAATATTCAATTAAAGTCATGCTGTGAACCAGTGATTATTATTATTGTGTGATTAGATGCATGGATACAATGGAGTTCACTAGGCAAAAGATATTAATAGTGAAATAATTGTTTAAATAAGAAAAAAAACAAATCAATAGCTTCATGTTGTTTTTTTGAAATTTCATTTTAAATCAATTAGAATTTACTATTTAAAAATTCCAATAACCTGAGTGCACTGCTACTTAACACAAAAAGAAAATCACAATTGATTGATCACTGGGTGGTGATCAATGTCATTCTTGTCTAGTCCTTATTAGTGCAGATCGAATGCTATCGATCAGTCCAACAGGAGGTTAGT